CCCCAAAACCCCAAAACCCCAAAACCCCTTTCTTTTAACAAATTATTGAATTTTGTCTGAAAGAGGTAAGCACTGCTAACCTCAGCTCTGAAAGAATTTATATGTAGACTATAATGGAACAAGCTACTAAGAAGTACAACAATAAGAAATGGGAAGGACATAAAGGAAGCGAGGTAAGCCCTATTGAGACAGAAAGATATCCAGCCTGCCTTCAGGGCTCTTTATGACCTCATTTTAGGATTTTAAATGTAATGATTGGGTATAGATGAAGAAGTACAATAAGAAACAAAGCAAATTCATGAAACTCCAACATCAGGTTGACGAAAGTATTAGAGAGAAATGGGCTGAAGAGCAATACTTGCTAAAAGAGAGCCTTATTGAGGAAGACAAGTTTGATTGGTATCTTCCTGTTCAAGATGATGAATATAACCAAGATAAGGAGAAGGAAGGCTTAAAACCCTTAGAAATGATAGGAGCAGTAGACATTAGGTAACCCAATGAAGTAATTCTCTAGTTATTCCAAAACAGATAGTCAGAAAGCATGTGCAGCCTTAGTAGTGCTAGCATATCCTTCCTTTGACGTCCTTTATGAGGATTATGAGATAGACACTACTGAGTATCCATATATCCCTGGATTTCTAGCTTTCAAAGAGATTCCTTCCTTGACAATATTGTTCAACAGGCTGAAGGAGAACTCCCCTGAGTTCTGGCCTCAAGTCCTTCTTGTTGATGGAAATGGTAAGATTTCCCTAAAATCTATAGGTATCCTCCATAACAGAGGATTTGGCTGTGCCAGCCATATCGGAGTTGTCATGGACATCCCCTCTATAGGCGTTGGTAAAACTGTCTTTGCAGTCGATGGAATCACCCAGCGTGGAGTCAGAGAAATGAGTGAAGCTAAACTCCTCAAAGGGGGAGATCTTGAGTATCTCGTTGGTAGATCAGGCAAAAACTGGGGAGCTGCTTTAAGATCAGTAAGTGTTCATGCTAAAAACAGACCGATGATAGCAAAAATCCTATCATCATATCAGTTGGTCACAGAGTTTGATTAGAAACAGCAATAGCAGTTGTCCGTGCGTGTATCACAAGATATCGCATCCCTGAGCCTATCAGGCAAGCTGACAAGAGAGGTAGAGTTTGGGTACAGAAAACTTATGATAGTAAAGGAAAAACTATGCAGAAAAGTAGTCTTAGAAAAGAAATGGAAGCCAAAAGGGTATTTGATACAAAACCTAGCAAACCAAAGTCTTCAAAATCTAAGGAAGAATCCAAAAAAATGGACCATGACAAAAAAGTAATTGAAAAGACATGGTCTCCTAAGAAGAAGTCTAAGAAGAAGAAAAAGGGACCAATAATTGATGATGATGGATTTACCCAAGTTTAAGAAGGTGGTTAACATTATTCAATACAGATATCATTTAAAGGGGTTTTGGGGTTTTGGGGTTTTGGGGTTTTGGGG